CATGAGAGGTTAGTCAGGGGTTCTGAGTGTCTGACACCAGTGTTGATATATACACTAGAGGTCAGTCAGGGGTTCCGAGTGTTTGACACCAGTGTTGATACGTACATGAGAGGTCGGTCAGGGGTTCCGACTGTCTGACATCAGTGTTGATATGTACATGAGAGGTTAGTCAGGGGTTCTGAGTGTCTGACACCAGTGTTGATATGTACATGAAAGGCCGGGCAGGGGTACCGAGTTTCTGATATCAGTGTTGATACGTACATGAAAGGTCGGTCAGGGGTTCTAGGCTGATGCCATCAGTGTCGAAAAAAATCCAGATTCAATCCCTATGAGTGTCTTGACATCAGTGTTGATATGTACATGAGAGGTCGGTCAGGGGTTCCGAGTGTCTGACACCAGTGTTGATATGTACATGAAAGGTCGGTCAGGGGTTCCGAGTTTCTGATATCAGTGTTGATACGTACATGAAAGGTCGGTCAGGGGTTCTAGGCTGATGCCATCAGTGTCGAAAAAAATCCAGATTCAATCCCTATAATTCCAAATCACTATCAATTGGAAGGACAACCAAAAACGTCATTTAAGTTAGGAACTTTTTTATTTATTCATGTGTTATAAGTAATAAGATGTAACATCGCAATGTCATTTGGGGGATACCGAAATGTGAAAATTTTCCCACATCTGGCTGGAGCGACAGTGTTGAGAAAAACATTAAAGAAACATTAGTTTAATTTGCAAATGAGCTTTAATTTAACTTAGGCGATTCTACATGGAGTAAGTTTACAACAGTGTAGCTAGCCTTGTGTACGGTGAAGTCGAGGGATGATAGTTGTGGAGAACGGAATGGCCGCGGTTGACACCTGGTTTGAGGAAAGCAGTGTTTATTTTGACGGGAAGTACATAAGCTAGACTTGTCATGTTTTTTTGTTTCGTATGTAGGACTAGTGTTTACATGCCGTGAACGTCATGCTCATGGATATTCATGGATAACACCTATATGTGTAAGTAAATTCACCTGAGTTGATACTTTCTAATGTTCTAACATCCTGATTAATTCCTTATATCGCCACTGTTTTGACGGACCCATATGTGACATCGAAATATTATCAGTTTGAGCTTTGTCAGATTGATATTGTCGACGTGTCAGACAACAGAACGTGTCAATGTTGCGAACATGGTCAACTGTAGGCCTAGTTTAAACTTATTTATTTTTAAAACTTCTAATACTTAAAATAATAAACAATAAAACAGAGATACAACAAGAGGCCCAGAGGGCCTGTATCGCTCACCTGGATACCTTAGCAATCATGGCAAAATATTCTCCAAATGAGATCAAGGGAATATGCCAGACCGCAAGGCCAATCCTTGTAGCATAATTGTATTAGATTTTGTCATGCCCAGCAATTTTATGTATGTTTATGGGGTGGGGATCTCAACTGTTTCCAAGCTTTGACTCAGAAACTAGGTCCCTAGGGTTGTGGCCAGACCCCAGGATCAATTCTAATAACGTGACTACATTTGTCTCTTTTTACCCAGCATTTGTATATATAGTTTTGGGGTGGGGATCTCAACCATTTCAAACTTATGACCCAGGGGTTAAGTCTGCAAAGGTGGGTCAGACCCTGGGGTCAATTCTAATATCATGACTGCATTCGTCTCTTTATGCCCAACAATTGTATATATAGTTTTGGGGTAGGGATCTTAACCATTTCGAAGTTATGACCCAGGGGTTAAGTCTCCAAGTGTGGGGCAGTCCCTAAGGCCATCCTGGAAGCATATGTGCAATCATCTTTTTATACTCAGCAATTGTACGGTTTTAGGGTGGGGCTCTCAGCTGTTTCCAAGGTGTGACTAAGAAACTAGGTCCCTAGGGGTTCGGTCAGACCCCAGGGTCTATTCTGATATCATGACTGCATTCGTCTCTTTATGCCCAGCATTTGTATATATAGTTTTGGGGTGGGGATCTCAACAGTTTTTAAGTTATGGCCCAGGGACTATGTCTCCAAGGGCGGGGCCAGACCCCAGTGCCATCCTGGAATCAAATGAGCAATTTTCTCTTTATACTCAGCAATTGTATACCATGGTTATATGGTGGGGATCTCAACTATTTCCAAGTAATACACTTTTTTGGCCCCACCCCTTAGCCCGGGTGTTCAGCCCCATCATTTGTACAATTTTGAATCCCTGCCTCCCATGAATGTTTCCGACCAAATATGATCAATATCCATGGCATAGTTCTACAGAAGAAGTCGCTTAAAGCAATATAACCAAATAACCATTTTTGGCTCCGCCCCTCAGCCCCCTGGGGGGTCAGCCCAATTATTTGTACAATTTTGAATCTCCACCACCTAGGGATGCTTCCAGTCAAATATGGTTGATATCCATCTCTTAGTTCCAGAGGAGAAGTCGCTTAAAGCAGTATATCCAAATTGCCCCCTTTTTGCCCCGCCCCTCAGCCCCATGGGGGGTCAGCCCCATCATTTGTACAATTTTGAATCCCCACCACCTAGGGATGCTTCCAGTCAAATATGGTTGATATCCACTTGTTAGTTCCAGAGAAGAAGTCACTTAAAGCAATATAGCCAAATTGACCCCTTCGGACCAGGTGAGCTAATAATCAAAAAATAATGATAAACAACTTAGATCTTGCAATTTTTTTCATGGCAAGTTTAGTTTATGTGATGAGACAACTCGAACGACAATTAAATTGCTCACTGAAAATGGGGATTTGGAAATACAGTCGTTCATACTAATATTAACAGCTGTGTTTTGGGTCACATGTACTATTATTAACCAATCACAGAACCTGTAATAAAGCGCAAAATCAAATTTGGAGATATATCACTGTTAAATAAAAGAAGAGATACAACAGCTCACTGGGTGTTTTAATTATTATATATCCTTATGTTCTTGTATAAATAGCAAATTTTTAATCATGATTTCCAGATCAATACAATAAGTCACTTTTCAAATTACTTTCTAGTCAGGAAACTTCATTCAGCAGTAAATCTTGATGACATGCTCACAGTCCACAGCTCAAATTCTCGAACCTGTTATTGAATCACTTCGGTCAAGTCTCCTTCAAACGGTTCCCTAGGACCTATCACACTCTTCACACACAGTTTAAAAACAGCAAATGGCATGATTTCTTACAATATCTCCTGTTTTATGCCAAGTATATATTGAACAGTAGAAAATTGAATTTTTAAGGACACATGCTTTGCTGATATATAATTGTTACTTCTGGGTGCCAGTTTCACATCCTGAACACACCAAACCTAGTCTTCTCCTGAGGTGCATTTAGGGAGGCACTAATACTGAGTCCTAGAACAGTGCGTGTGTCTACCGGATCTATCACTCCGTCATCCCATAACCTGAAATATCAAACATCATCAGTTTACACCTGTCACGAAGAGCCTGAAACAAAATATCAAACATCATCAGCTTACACCTCTCACGAAGAGCCTGAAACCAAATATCAAACATCATCAGTTTACACCTGTCACGAAGAGCCTGAAACAAAATATCAAACATCATCAGTTTACACCT